AGAATAAGATTTCTCCAATTCGCCCGAGAGGAATTCAATTGGGAAAGGTTTTTTTGCCCAGAGGGTTCATAAGTCAGTATAAGATTTGGCCAATTCGTCTACCGCAGTTTGGGTAAGTTTAATTGTTTTGTCAAACTTCTATTATGTTCACAGCGGCTTAATTTCAATGGGTTGTGTGAGATAAAATTTCATGTCCAGAGGGTGCCATTTTGGTGTACGTTGCTCACTTATHTTTAGCTGGGCATGAGAATTGATTGCCTTTCCACCCCTGATTTACGGATTGATCAAAGCATTAAGAATGCACTAAATGACATGACGGCATTTTTCAATAAATTCGAATTTACAATCTAACTCTGCTCTCCTAAATTTWGTTACTCAAAGCAGGATATCCTTGAAAGCATTCAGCTATTTTTTGTATTTTTATAAGGTCATGAGCCTAGAAAGAAGATGACTAAATCTTCTGGTATTTCGTTCTTCTTATTGGTTTAGTCTTTCTACTTTTAACTGAATAAATTGGTTGTTGATATAATTATCCTGAAATGCGCACATGCCGTTAAAAGTATTTTAACAAGTGGCCCATTGCCCCAGGACCACGTTCAAATATTTCAATTCAAAAGAGCATTGCAAAAGGAAAAAAAAAGAAAAGAAGAAGAAGAAGAAAAAAGAAAAAAGAAAGAACAAAAAGAAAAAGAAATACAAGAAAGAAAGAAGGAAAAGTTGCTTTTCATGACCTGTTAAGCTTCAAAAGACTTATTTCACAGGGGAATTTCCTCTTTCTAGGGACTAGAAGATCTTCATGTCCAATCAATAGACATGAATCACAAGTGCATCGTTCGGACATTGGCTACAGTTGCTATTTTACTCTTGGTTGTGAAAGAGRGCAGAGAAAGTGACCTAGACCCCTCTGGGTAAGTTTCTTCATAGTATCTTTTGTACTGAAAGTGAAATGAAGAGAAACATAGCGAAAAATATTCATATTAGCATTTAAAGAAGAAATGTCAGCAAAAATGTGCGAACAAACAAACCGGGACCAGTTAAACAAAATGTAAGATAATAAAATTAAAAAGACCTACGCCAGTCGTCGGAAGAGAGCAATTTCAATCAGTTATTAAATTACTAAATACTATTGACCTCAGCTCAGTTCAGCCCATCACAATCACTCATTCCATGATTGTTTGTAACATATAAGCTTATCTTTTTTTCAATATATGCTTTATCTAGGCTTCATTTAGTAATGCTCCTGATTGGTTCCAGTATGACTTAAATTTGATTTCTTTGTATCCCCACAGTAAACATTCYTTATTAAAATGTCGTGGCAACGAATGTAAATAAATTTCGCTCATGAATATTTTCAGTTTGGGTAGGCCCTAACCTTAAAACTAGAACCACTGCTTGTATTTCGTTTGGAAAAATATATTCAAGGCAAATATATTTTCCAAGGAAAGGCCAAAAAATATGTTTAATTTGGAATTTGGGATCTTTGACGGGCAAAAGAAAAATCGATAACTTCAGTCTCTTACACATTAAAACGTTTAGATGAAACTTGGGTTACGGCGTTGGAAGCAAAGTTTCAATAGGTCGTTGCACGGAGCCTGAAACTTGTCGTGAAACTTGGCTCGTAACAAAGTTGTACACAAGTTCTAAAAAATCCTAGATTTTCTCCTGAAACTATTATAAATATGACCAAAGCATATTTAGGCTGTAATGCTGATTAAATGAACCAAGTCTTGTCAGTAAAATGTAGCAGGCGGCATTTCAAACCAGAAAAGAGGGACAGAAATTTCAAAAATATTATATTATCAATCTCATGTAATCTTACTTCCTAAAATTTATTATCTTATGATCAATTCACGAATAGAATATTTAAAAACATGATTCGGCCACTTTGCCATACTCCCGAGACATCGGCAGAGCTGAGGCGTCGTATGGATTTCGGACCTGACGGCAATTAATCCTTCTGCCCTTGGGTGTATAAATCAAGCAAGAAAAAGTTCTAGACCGAAGGCATCAGGGGAGAGACTAGCCGGGAACAACGAAACAAGCACCACGAAAAATATAAATTTAGTGACTCTTGAAAATTCGATAGCAATGTTGAATATTTTTGGAAGTTTATCTAACCTTTTGAAAATAACGATTTTAGGAAATAAAACCATATCACCTTTTTTCCTTTCACTTCTTATAGAGATAATGTGTGTTATGGAACTACAACAAGCTTTCAAGCAGACTGTGACTTCGGCTTGTGTGACGAAAACAGGTAAAATAGTGACGGACCTGTTTCTCTGTCAAATCATCAAGTTAATTTTGGCATTTACCTAAATAATAACCTTATGATACCTTAAGCTTCAATTTTTCATTATTTTATTATCGATACACATATACATAATTAACATTATTTTTTAACATTCCTCCCCCGCTTAACGCTAGCGGCAGCGGTGACAGTGATTCTGAATCATGGAGGGACGACACTGATACTTACTCCTGTTGTCCAGGATGGCTACAAAGTGGACGTCACTGCTCAATACGTAATGTGTTATTATGATGTTGAATAGGGGAGTAGGCAGGGGGATGAAATGGGGGGAAAGGGGGTCAATGGGGGCGGGGGGTCAAGGCAACAACATAGGGTGCCACATATCTAAAAGCTAAAATTAAGCCGGCACCTCTTAGAGTTTTTGAACGGAAATAAGACACCTGAAATAATACGATGGAACAGAATGGCAGTTGCTATTCAG